AGTGGCCCCTGAGATCTGTCCAACAACCACTTCCCGCCAAGAAATTACCAATCACTGATCCAGTCATGCACACGCACACACACAACACAATGCGCCTGTTACGTAACCCTCCTCTCCACTCCCGACCTGACAGGACAGCGCTGAGGCAGTACACACTCCTGTAGAGAAATAAAGTATGGAAAACTAGCCGAAGGGAGTCGCAGAGTACTCACACTAAATCTCTCACTAGCCTCTCTCTGCTTACACAAGCAACTAATTAAACAGCACAATGCAACAGCGGTGTCACATCAAGCCCACAGAGGATTGCAGGAGAACAGCAGAACATATAGTCCCGCCTCTACTTCAGCTCTTTCAACTGAGCACTCACGCACGGCAGCTCACAGAAACTAGAGTGGTTTATGTACAGTTTGAGTAGAAAGACTCTAGAAAAAGATGTCAAGTCATTCAGCACCTTCAGCTTAGGTGGTGACAGTTTCCTGAATCATGAAAATACCAAATACCACAGACAGTTTCGACAAAACTCACAGTGGAGGAGCACACCTTCCGGTGCACATGAGAACCGTGTGAAAAGTGGTATGAGACTGAACATCTATCGCTAAAAAATATAAATATAAACTATAAACTAAAATATGAAATCACTCTTCCCCAAAGACCGCCACAAAAGCATCCCAGGTGGTTCTTTATGGTTAGCATTTTTTCTGCTTGAGAGAATCCTAACCAGCTACTTTGAATAATTTTCTAATTATCTGAAATATATGATTTATTTAACAATTTTTTGGCCACTGCATAAATCCTTATGTGTTATTTCACTGTTTTGATGGCTTCACTATTTTTCTAAAAAAAATCATGGAGTAGGTGTTACTAAACATTTGCTTTATGCTGAATATTGTAGGCAGAGGGGTGTAGTAATGAGCTATATTTTCTCAGTTACATGTACACAAGCAATTATTATGAATTTTGTCTCTGTCCAAAAAAAAAATCATGAATCTCCAAAATGATAATTTTACAGGAGGCACTACTCTTTACATTCAAATGTCAGTTAAAATAGATTTTATTTCAAGAAATTTTGCAGCATTTCTGTAAGTCTATTCATCACTAAATTTTCACACAATGTAAAGGGCAGCCGCTGAGTATTCTCAAAAGTATGTGTTTAATGTATATAGCTAATGTATATTTATAAGGAAAGTAATCTACTTTTTACTTTTATTTCGATAATTAATATTTAGTAAACAATTTCTTTTAGTGTTTAATTTCTTTATGTTACATTTGTGAGCATCTGACCTGCTCTGTGATTGGTCACACTGCTAACTTCTGAGATGTATTATTTTATTTTAGACCAGTGGAACATTAAAACAGAAAGAGAGCTACTGCACAAATACTTTAAGCTACGCTACATATTTGGAGACCTCTTTGTGGCGTTGGTTGTGCTTTGGACCCCTTCCCCAAGAGGATAATAAGAGGATTGCAAGTATATTGAAAGAGTATTCAAAGAGCACTCAGTCAAAACTTGGTGGAGGACGTGTCTTCTGAAGATGAATTATCTACTACTGTCATCATATATTCATCAGTATAATGTTGATTTAGCATCTGAGCTACAAAAATACATGATGCCCCAAACCATGTATTGGTATAGCATAAGTATTTTTTGACGTGCTACATTTATAGGTACAAGCTAAGAGTGAAAGAAGCAGTAAACACCATCACCTACACTCTCACTGACTGCCGCTTCATTCACCCTGTTCTCATCTCTCCAAAGCCCAGTCGCCATCCTGCACCCCCGGCATGCTTGAGTTTGAGAGCCATTTGTTAACAATTCTGAAGTGCCAACTCTGTGACTGTGTGAGTGTCAAAAAAGACAGAGTGACAGATGGAAAGAGAGGGAGAGGAGTGATGTTATCCATGTAAACCACTGAAAGCTCCACAGAGCAACTCACGATTAATCACACCAAATTCACTCTGTTCTGCAAAACTTTCTGTCTGCTCTGCAAATCCATCTTTTGAAGTGACAAAAACAGTGAAACCAAATCAAACAATACAAGCAGTGTGGCCAGCCACTGGAGAAATGAGGCGATTGCGTATTCTGTAAACGAATGTGAGTTGTGTGTCATCAGTCCTGAGGCTCCAGGGGGTTTGGCTAAATGTCCACAAGTACACACACACACACACACACACACACACACATGGACACACTCTAACTGCTAAATTAAGCCTCTTTCTGATGGGCCTCGCATGCACTGTTGTAAATAGTATTTCTGGTAAGAGCTTAAGGACAAGCCAATTGAGATAAAACCATGAAAATGCAGAGAGCCACAATCAGCAGCCACATCTCAAATGAAGCACATCAGAGGGCAGTGGGAGGGCACATGAGGACCACCGAGATGCTAACTCAGGCCTTTTCACTGAAGTACTTAGTCATAGAATGGACACACAATCCAGGGCTGCTGTTTTCAAACTTTACTTTTCCACTTGTGTTCATATATATGCTATATTTAGAGTGACCATGCAGAGGCCTCACTGCGCTACGCTTTTTCCAGCCCAATAAAATAATAGAGTTTCTTAGTTAACAGAGCCCTCCTACACTCTACTGCACTGGAATAAAGCAGTTACTGGCATGTCTTCATGTGTAAAGGCAATTTCTTAAAAACTGGCGGGCCGGAAACCACATTGGTGCCACCCCCCCCTTTTCTTCTCCCTGAATCTCTTTGTTTTCCATTAAATTCTGGTAGTTGGTGGGGAAAAAACCTGTCCTGGCTACAAAGCAAAAGCCCCAGTGTTATATGAATAACTACAGTGTTTATTTCTACCCAGCACTGAAACAATAATTTCAAAATTTTAAGACAAGCAAGATATTCTCCTTTTTAGCATAAAATAATTTCTTCTTTTCCTGCATATTTGCAAATGATAATACCATTAATTCGACTTCAGTATATCTGTGAGGAGAAAAATCTGTGTTTATTCAATAACATTTACTGACAAATTCATTTTTGTATTAGATTTTATTTTGTTCTGTTAATGACATCATCTGTACCCCTTTGTGATTTGTCACACATCTGACTGTTGAAGTTTATCATTTATTTTACACCTCAATGTTCCCAAAAAGAGAATAATAGAGCCTAACAAACTTCAGGCTTTATGCTGATAGCTGCTGGATGCTGGACTGAAAAGTATCACAGCAGTTCTATCACTTATTCAGTACGTATATAGTTTTTTGACTTGGTGGTCAGACTTGGTAGATAGTGTGTAATGACCGATAGTTTCACTTATGTGATTAGTGTGCTACAACATTCTTTAAGAAATAAATCCTTTATCACTGAGCTACTCCAAACTACTCTGTGAATTGTCCAACGAATGAGTGTTACTTTAACATTTTACAACTTAAGCCTAAAAGTGGCTGGCTGGGCAGGTTTATAATTTTGACTGTAACTTGGTGATGTAGTACACTGTTATCAGTGATCTATATGCTCTGCTTCAGCACAAACTTAGCTTTTCAGCAATACAAGTTGTTAACATAATTCGTCAATGTTTAAGACAAAAATAATATGCAAATGCATTAAAAACAAAAAAATAGAAATTAAATTGTCCACATTTTTCCTAAAAAAATACAAATATATACAGAACAAAACAATTTGAATGAATATCGCGATACTGTATCGTGAAATTTTCATGACACATGATATGTCACAATATTTATTTTTTCAACATCTGATCAGCAGGAACTGAGTAAAAAGAACCAATAGTGCTCCATTAAAAAATACTATCAGAAACTGCAAATACAATGTTTTTTATGCAATATTTGGCATTCTGTGTTGCACAAAATGCAGTTAAATGGGACTTTATGATAAAACATGTAGTTGGTCAGTGCTCTACAAGTACCAATGATATGCATGATATGTTCAATAAAGCATACTGTATTGTACTGTGGCATAATTTACCACAATAACGTTACATACTGTCATATTACCAAACCCTAGAATAATCTGAACAATCAACCCACTTCGATCACTTATAAAAGTCACTGGAAATCTGTATTGTCTATGTGTACATGTCTGTGACCGTTTTCTCAGCTTTGTAAATAGATGTTTTTAGTTTATGGGACTATATCACACTCTTGACGTTCCTTAAGAGTCTCCGGCCTTGTTATTACTGCTCTAATAAAGCATTTGTAGTATTTCAGCACACATCTGGAAGAAAATCATATTTTTCTAAAGCCTGATGTCAAATGTTTTGAAATTTTTCAAAAATCGCCCTGGAATTGGCTAGTCGCATTTGGACCTGCTACCACTATATGAGATTCGCATTTTCAAAATAAAACCACAGCAGTGTGGGAGAGTCTCTAAAGTTGAATCTCTGCTTTGATTGGATCTGCTGGATGTCACAGTTATCATCTGATGACAAGCAACAACATAAAAAAATGCTAAAAAATAGCTGAACATTGATCTGTGTACACTGTAATCTAATGGGTAGACAATGCAGCTGATTCTGCATATGTAGTGTAGATTAGGCATATGACTACATATGCCATGCTGTTGGAAAGCTCAAATTCTCTAGTTTATTGTGAATTCAAAGTTTGCTGATATCTTAAAGGCCTGTAGCATTGTTTAAGTTTAAACACAACGTTTCACATGTCAGTTACATGTTCAATCTTAAAGAGTTAAGACAAATAATCGTACCTCTTACTATATTATTGTGATTAATGTTATGCAACTCTATTGTAGAGCCTCATTTGGAGAATCAAGCCAAGCTAAAAATTCCTAACCTTCAAAAAACATTCTGGAGCACACAACAGATGAGCACACAATTAGCATGAACCAATACTAAAAAAGAAAGAGTAACCAAAATATGTTTTGTTGTTTTAGTTATATACACATACAGGTTCATATGAGAAAAGACGGCAGCTGATGTAGCGCAATCAATCAAGCGTGTGAAATCAGGGAAAACTTCCATTATTATCCACTCACATATGCACAGACACATACACAGATAGCTGCAGAGACACTTACACCCAAAACGTGCAGGGCCACAGCCCCCTCCATTCGCTCCTGGTTGGTGAAAATGTCATCAGGAAACTCGTGTATACCTGAGGAAAAAACAAACACATGCATCAGTATTCAAATACACAGCAGTACAGTAGTGTCTCATTTATTATAAATCACCTAGTTAAAGAACTGCAGTGGTAGAAACCATACATCAACTCATCCTGCTATCCGGACTTTCAATTACACATTTCATCTGAAACTCCACAGAAAATATTATGATGCTGCTTTAGTGAAACACAACACTTAACACCTCAAGTTGCTCATCCCTCACCCCTCCATGTCAGATTTTATTCAGGTATGTAAAAAATGTTTTTCGGAATCAGAGCAATTTATAGATCCATTTGTGTTAGACATATACAGTGTCGAGTCTAAACCACATCGAAAATCTGCTTTTTTCATTTAAACCTGGAAATAAACAACAACATGTTGTAGAAAACATTAAAATAAAGTTATGACAGACAAAAATAAGCAAATTTACGTCTCTGATATATAAGCACGTGTTTAGATGACTTTCTACTCATCAGAGGCCTTTTCACTAATTTGTGGAGTCCAGCTTGAGTGCATGCAGTCATTAAAGCAAAATAAGGAAATTCAGAAATTTATGTTAAAATTTCAAAGATTTTACAGTTCACTAAAATTTTGAAGCTGATAACGTAATTTGTAATAAAAACCTGTTTTAATTAGAAAAGGCAAAATAGAAGTGCCTATAATCCGCCATGCGTCATGCCTAACAACAGCTTAACCATGGTATAAATCACTGTAATGAACAGCCTTTTATTATGTTTTATTGCTTTTATAAAATAATGACAAAAATATTATCATAATATATGACTTTTCAATAAATGATTTAATGCAGAAATAATAATCATCACAATGAACAATTCTTGCTTCAAGCAATATAGTTTGTTAGCAGTAGGTTATGAGTGCCAAGCAACACAACGGTTAAAGATATAATACATCGATTACTGTTCTGTTAACTATTTCAACATAATTGAAGTAAAAAAATGAGGGCAGTTTTTTTTAAGAAAAAATCTTTACAGTTTCAAAACAGAACTATCTATTTTCTAATATATATTTATTCATTTTGTTATTGTCAATAAAATGTTAAGACAGATTTGTACTGTCACAGCAGGTTGTATATCAATTTGTGTTTGATAGTGTCACGCGTCATGTCACTAATAACCCTAAATATGCGTCAATGATTGGGTAAAACACCCACACATTCATGGTTACAACATACTGAGCTGCTCCAGTGTTAATGTCTTAACCTGAAGCGAGGCTCCTCCACTAAGGTCATGCAGACACGATAACAATCAGATTGGGCCGTGTGCGATTTTCAGCTGCTGATTTTCCTGCAGTTACGAAGCTGTTATCTCAGCCCTCTAAGCGTAGCTGCTCCGTTAACAAGCTATTCACAAACGCAGCATGCCACCTGGATAGCTCCATTGATAAGCTCTGGCCCACAGATTGGACCCGGTGCTTGCTGCAAGACTCCTATTAGGCTGCCCTGACTTCAGCCAGCCGAGAGACGGTAGGAAGAGCACAGCCAGTTGCGAACTCCCTGAAGCGCTAAAATTGTGCTCATTCCTCTACTGCCTGCTTGCTGCCATGACGTCAACTACAGGGCTACCACTGAAAAGCTCAGACTCCAAAGACAGGCTGCTGTTTGTACAAGAAGAAAAGCTGATTGCCAATACGTGGCTTAAGCACGAGTTCTCTGAGTGTGGCTGTGTTTACGGCTCTGTGCTTTTTGTTGCTACAGAAAAAGACTAAATCCCTCTTAATTGAAAGAGAAGCATCTTATCCCACTCACTATTCTTTATTTCAAAGACAGACAGCAGCGCTATTTCTTTTTTTATTTATATAAAAATTGACAAGGCTCTTCCTCGAGGACCAAAAGAACAACATTATCATGCCTCAATTAAGGCTGCTGTTAATTACTAGAACTAAAGGATAACTGCAATGCTTTGGCAAGTATACAAACATCAGAATGTGAGACGGAAGCCAAAACACTGTGAAAAGGATAAATCTCATATATTGGTTTAGAGATGATAAGGCCATTAGCACAGAAAGCTGAGTGTGTGGGCCTGGTGGTGTGTGTCTACAGCTGCACGGCACACAGTGACATTCTATCAGCGAACAGCCGACAGGCTGAGTGCGTGAGCAGGCTACACACTGCCCTGTCTGCCCTGTCAGCACTGAGCCAATAGCAACTCACACACCACCACACTCCACTACTACACATGAGGGGTAGTGAGAGAGAGAGGGATAGAAAAGTGATATCTATCCTGCTGGGAGGGAAGCTGCTGTAGTACATTGATGTAGTGTAATTTTCAGGCTTACAGTCTCACCCGATTCTTCCTGTCTGTTTACATCACTGTGCAAAAGGCAGAGATGATCCTTTTAAATTTACCAGACAGTCACACAGAAGCCTCAGTAACAACATACATCAATTACTTAACATTAATAATGTTTAGTGTGTTGCCCCTTAGGCTTTGTTACAGCATCTATTCTTTTCGGGAGGCTTGCTTTCAGTTTTTCAAAGAAGAAACCAAAGAAAGTTGGTTGCATTTTCTGCTGCTCATGATCTAAGCAATCCCAAACATGTTCAATAATGTTGAGGTCAGGACTCTGGGTTGGTCAGCCCATTGTTCCGATAACACCAGAAGCTTCTTTGTTTGTTTTGCAAATTTTCATCTTTTTTGTCAGTTTCCTTCAGTCAGTCACAGCTTCTTGACAGCTACATATTCTTTCAGAGTCATAATGTTGAGTTGTCTTCTCACAGTGGAAGGATGGACAGAAACACGTGGATTTCCTCAGATCTAAAGCAAGAGTGGAGCTAGATTTTCTCCTCTCTTTTAAAGATGAAAGCTTTAAGTACTGCTTATCTGATGGTGATGGATTTGGTGGTCTGCCAGGTGTTTCATGGTTGTTATGAGTCCCCTATTCTCTGTATCTTTTAACAATTAATTGAACTCCAGTTGTGGAAAGTCCTGTTTTTTCACTAATTTTCCTTTGACTCCTTCCTTAAGAAAGTGGATCACCTTACATCTAACCTCACCAGAAATATAACCTTTAAATGAATTATTGCCATTTTGACTGGAAATTAAATAAATGCACAGTGGTCCCTGTCTTTTGCACAGCTAAAGATGCTCTTATAACTTCCTGAACCCCAGGCTTATTATTCAGCTATCAATCTTGATGTTTTTCTTTCAGTATTTTTTGTAAATTATTTCAGGAACTATTAAAGTAATATGTAATATATGTAGATGTGACAGTGAGGAATTTGAGTGTGCATCCATATGTGTGTCTTTTGGGGTTAATTTGGCTTTTCTTTTGATTTTATTATCTTCAGTTTTATGATTCCATGATTGTTTTGTTTTGATTGATACATACTATTTTACTTTTCCTTGTTTTATAAAGTTTGTGGTGCTCCCCTTATTTATTAAAGTTTTTTTTAATTATTTATTCATAATCTTATTTTTATTATTTTGTCTTTACCTCATTTTTTATCTGGGCGCTACACAAGTTACATTTTAAGCATGGTGAATAAAAGTATTATTATTATCATTATAATAATAATAATTATTATTATTATTATCATAGCTGTTGGTTTCACTGATTGTCCATCATTTTACGCATTGACACTAACCCTGTTCCCCAGGACTGTGGCCATGTGTCCACCTCCATTCAATCCTACCATTCATTTCACAAAAGCCCTTCACAGCAAGGGGAAAACATCACTCAACTGACTACAAAAGACTGATGAAAAGTGCACAAATTGAAAGCGAGAGTCATCTGTCTATTTTTCGTCCGACAGCCACAGGCCTGTTTTGGTGCTTGTGGTTGGTGTGGGGCTCAGTGATGACTGTGGTCCTCATTAAAGAAGCTCAAACACTGAGACTGGGTCCCCTCGCAGAGTGCAGCGCACTGGAGCATGGTTCTAAACAGTGTATTCACAAGAGCCCGTGATTAACCTTATTTCAATCGCAGTACAACAAACTTCAATTACTGAGGCTGCACCAATTAAAAGATTTCAGTACAGCTTAACAGCGGCCTGAATTTGGCAACACTGCAGAAAAGAAACAGAAGTCTTGCTTTTGCTGTAATTACAGTGGGCTTAAAAATACAATAATGACAAGACACTGTCAAACAGGACTGTGTACCCAATTGATCTATCCATGCTGAGATGACAAATGTGGCTGGGTCTTTCCTAGCAACCAATGTGATGTTGCCCAAGCTTTACAGAACATTGGTAAAAACCCAAATTAACCTTTTCAACTGAGATTAAAGTTACTGGTTTAAAATGCTACTCTACCAACTGGACTTTGATGTTGTAGCTAATTAAAACTAGGTAGTTCAGAAATGACAACTGTTTTACCACCATGCTAATGTTGGCTTGATAAAACTACACCCGATCTGTACTAACAGTGTGATCAGTGTATTTGTAGTTGTCCATGACAAATTCTCATTAGTTTTAATGGTATTTTTGCCAATGTTCTGTAAAGTTTGCTAAATCTCACCACAACTGCTATGAAAGAATGAGTCTGTGGGCAGAGCATGGGTAGGTCATATCCAGATAAAACCTAAAGGCCTGATAAAAGCCGCCAAGCCCGTTTTACTGCCTCTACACGTGGCCATTCTGGATTGTTGAGAACAGGCTTCCTGACATTGGCCCACAGTCCGCAGAGCAGACAGGAGAGGATAAGAGGAGAGCTTGCGGATGAAGGCTGTGTTCCAACCTCTCTTCTCGCAGGGCTACAGGAGACTAATGGCCGACAGGAAGGGCATGAGGACTGTCCACATAAATTAAGTGCTGTCAGCACCAACCTCAAGCTCCGCTACACATAGCTCCCCCTCATCCGTGCAGTAACTTCCCTCTTCGAGGGCAGATTCACATACAGCCGCCATATTCAACACATGGACTCCTCGTGTCTTTCCCAAGCAGTAAACAAACAGAATAATCAGAGTTCAAAGAGTCATACATCAGAACAGTGTGTTCATATATCTAATGCTGAAGATGTAAAGTACCTATCAGTCA